ACTCCGGCTCGTCCTCTCCCTCCGTTCCCAGCTCCTCCTCCCGCTGCCGTCCCCCGGCTCCCAAAGGCGGGGGAGAAACCTCCGCGTCCAGGGCCGGGAAGGGTGGGGAAAGAAGCGCAGGTGTCTTCCTGGGAGAGGTGGGCGCACACACCCTAGCGGCACCCTGCAGGGGGTGGGCAGGGTTTTAAGCAGGGAAAGGGGAGGAGAGGATGTACCTGGAGGTGGAGGTCCTGCGGCTGAGCCCCACGCGTCCTACCCAGGCGCGGGAGCCGCGGGCCAGCTGCACGGTAGGGAGCGGGGTGCTGCCCCCCACCTCCACCCCCAGGTGGATTGAGGTCGTGGCCCGGAGAACCCGCGGAAGTGACCTGAGAGGCAGAACCCGGGGACATGGAAGTCCGAGGGACTCCATCTCTGAGTTGTTGAGATCGGTCTCTTGGGGGTAACGGGGGCCTGCGCCTGGAGCTTGGGGGCACACAGGTGTCCAGGGATCTGGTGTGTGGCTCCAGCTTGCCGGGCTGGAGAGCTGAGTCTGAGGGTTTGCGGATGGCAGCGGTGGCTCTCACGCTGCTGTGTGCCTCCGGAGTCGCAGGGGGCGATCACCGCCTAGCTGGGAAGCGGAGATCAGGGCGTTTTTCCAGGTCCAGATCCCGAACTCACCTTCCCAATTCAGTCCAGGTCCCTCCTACCCCTTGCTCCCAGCAAGTGCATTGGGCCCGGGGCTCAATGAAATAGTTAGTTACTGTGCTCTTTGCCTGGTGGAAAGGATCCCACCTGATCTGAGACTGATGGGCTGCTGCTTCTCTCCCAACCCCAGCCCCTCCTTTATTTGATAAAGTTTTTCCCTGTGGAGTTTCCTAAAAAGAAACCTTTTTTCTTTTCTTTTTATTTTGGCTGTTGAGGTATCAGGTCTCTATATAATTTCACAGTTAAATGCAATACACAGGAACGTCCTTTAGGCGGGGAATCACAGCGTAAATGCTTATGACTGCTGCCTGTTTTCAAACGACAGTCTTAGAATGCAAAGTTGAGTCAACCCCACCCCCACTCCGCCCCAGGGTGGGTGGAGCGGACGGTCCATTTAATCAGAGGTCTGTTAGAATGATCCCTGGAAACAACGCTAGAAAGAATTGTGGTGCTTTCTCTAGTACCCATTCCTTTTTATGTTAATTTAGGCAATCTAAAAATGAAAGGTCTGATACAATTGGCAAGGCACAATATTTCTAGATTCTCAGTCAACAGCCAGCCAGTCCACCCCCTGCCCCCACCCCCCACATCCAAAGGTCTGACTCAGAGTTCCTAGCACTTTTTAAATTTCAGGATACAGCCGGAAGGACAAAGCTGTTGAGTTCTAGAAAGAGATAACTTAAATGTAAGTAAACTTATTTACCAACTACTCAGACAAAATCAGAAGCTCTGCAGCAGCAACAAAATGTATCTTGTTTAATGTATTGAATTGGAGGAAAGATGGCTGTTTGCCAGATATGTGATCCATTAACCTCTTTAGCTCATTGTTGGCAACAATAGCATACAATCACATTCTTATGTTTGAAAGACAAGGGTTGTTTTTTCCCATCTCAAAATCACAATGCCACATTATAGTCTAAAAGAAACCTCAAACAATAAAAGTAATAAGAAAGGAAGAAACATAATTTACTTTTTTTTTTCTGAACAAATGTTGCTGTTCTGTTTTTCTTGAGGGGGAAAATGCTGATAAGCAATAAAGTCCACAAAGGCATGACAATAGATTTTGAAGAATGCCTCATTCCATCTATCAGTCCTTTTAATTAGTAAACTTTATTTAAAATGTTTATATTATCTTTTTCATGGTATCCTTTTCTTCCATTGGGTCAGGAAGATTACTGAGAAGGACAGTGGGGTGGAATGAATCTGTTTTCTCATATTTCTGTCCTGCTTTAAGTCTGGCAGGAGAGGGACATTCAGCAGCCCGAGCTTTCTCAGCAGTCCTAACCTCACCTCAGAGGATCATTAGCTCTCCTTCGTAGCTGATGAAGAGGGAGATTGTCACAGGGATTTTGCCTAGCTTGTGAAGATCACACCTGGGGCTGAGAGTAGGTACCAACCAAGAAACTGAAGCAAAGCTCTGGAGGGTTTCTGCCTTGCCTATGGTTGGAGGATTAGATCAGGATAGATGCCCCCCCCCTTTTTTTGGATGCTGTTCTTCTACACCCACAAATGACCTGGCATCTTGTTAGGTGAAGTGCAAAGGTGAGTGGATGAGGTCCGACATCTTTAGTAGAAACATTTTGGTATTGTGCTAAATTAAATAAAAGTAAACACCAGACAAAGTGGCACATCCAAAAAATCTTTTCTGAAATGCACTTTTGAAAACAGTCACAGATTCAGTGGTTTTGTTTAGTCACCGAAGCCAAATGAAGTGCACAGTAATGAAAACATTTGGTTATTTAGAGTGTTCATTTGGTAAAAAAAAAGAAAGAAAAAAATTTCCCCCAAGCATCATCACACTTTCTTGTTTCATAAAGATGTGTAACTGTTAAATATTACTCAGCTTGCAGTTTCAAAGGGAGGCTGTTCTCTCACTTAACTATGGAAGTGTTTGTCATTATTAGAATAGAATGGAGGTAGCAGACTTATTTTTTTTCCTTTTTTTTTTTTTTTTTTTTTGCTTCTAACCAGCCAGTCACTGACATCTAGATTCACTTGGATTGGCAAATATTCATTGAAAGGACCAGAAACCAAAAGGTGACTAAAAGAAGCCTCCGCCCTCATAGGGCAAGCTTAGGGTTATCAGGTTGACCTGGAGTCCTTCCCATGTACGGAAATGAACCCATACACCTACCTCTCCATGCTCCATCACTGTACTGAAGTATCTCTTGTATGAAAGAGGCTTAAAAGTATAGGGCCATACCTGATTGTAAGGGAAGCATTGCTTATAGAGGAGATGGTCCACAGATCGGATGTCACAAACTATGAGGATGGTAAAGAGGATTTAAGATCTCTCTAGGTCTAGAACAGTACAGGCCAATAGAAGTGTAATATAAGATACCAATATAAGCCACATATGCAATTTTAAAATACTATATTCATCGAAAAGTAAAAGTAAACAGGTGAAATTAAATTTCATAGTGTATTTTATTTAACCTAAAATATCCAAAATATTATAATTTCAACATATGAGAAATATAAAAACTATTAATGAAATATTTTTCTTTTCTATTATTATTATTATTTTTTGATGGGCAGAATGACTCTCATTCCTACTCCCTGGAACCTGTGAGTATGTTACATTACATGGCAAAAGGGACTTTGCAGATGTAATTAAGGTTAAAAATAGAGCCCTAGCTAGTTTGGCTCAGTGGATAGAGCATAGGCCTGGGGACTGAAGGGTTGTGCGTTGGATTCCGGTCAAAGGGCACATACCTCGTTTGCTGTGTAGGAGGAAACCAATCTATGTGTCTCTCTCACATTGATGTTTCTCTCTCTCTGTCTCTCCCCCTCCCTTCCATTCTTTCTAAAAATCAATGGAAAAATATCCTTGGGTTAGGATTAACAACAACAACAACAAAAAAGGTTAAAAATAGAGGGATTTTCCTGGATTGTTTTAGTGGGCCCAATCTAATCACATGAGTTCTTAAAAGCAGAATATTTACTCAGCCTAGAAGCAGAAGAGATGTGACAGAAAGAGAAGTCGTAGAAATTTGAGGCATAAGAACGATTCAACATGCTGTGTGGTTGGTTTAAAGATGGAGGGGCCAATATGACAAGGAATGCAGGAGGTCTTCAGGAGCTGAGAGGAGCCGCTGACTGACGGCCAGGAAGGAACAGGACCTGCCCTACACCACAGGATCAGAATTGGGCCAAAACCTGAATGCTTTAAGGCCTGCAGAGCAGAATGCAGCCTTACTGACACCTTGATTTTGGCATTAGGAGACTCTAAGCCAAGGGCTCAACTGAGCCCCACTTCTAGACTACAGAACACTGAGATAATAAAAATGGCTGTTTCAAACCACTAAATTTATAGTAACTTTTTAAAAAAGAAGCAATGGAAAACTCATGCATGTGCCAAGTCTTGAAACCTGGTATTACTCTTGCAGCCCATTTCTATTTGGATATCCTGGCCACATTTCAAGGATTCAATAGCCACACAT